ATACTGTCGAGAATTGCTTGGAACAAAACTTTCCTAATATTGTGCAAACATTCAAGATGTTCAACAAACTGTAAATACAATAGATTCCAAAAGAAAACCGCCAAGATACCATAATCACATTTCAAAAGCTGTGACAAAGAAGAAAACAAAAAGCATATCAGGAAAAACAAAGTTACATATAAAGGAGAACCAGTAAGATTAAGTTCTGATTTCTCAGCAGAAAACTACACAGGCAGGAGTGAGAAAAAAAACAAAACAAAACAATTGCCAACCCAAAATTATGTTGTTGCTAAGGGCTGCGAACTTAAGGTCAGCGGTTCGAAACTACCACCGCTCCGCAGGAGAAATATAAGGCTTTCTACTCCCGTAAGGATTTACACCCTCGGAAACCCTGTACAGGGTCGCTATGGGTCGGAACCGACTCGACGGCACTTGACAACAACACAAGGAGCTCTGGTAGCATAGTGGTTACAAGTCGGGCTGCTAATTTCACAGTCAGCAGTTTGAAATTACCATCAGTTCTGCGGGAGAAAGATAAGGTTTTCTGCTCCTGTAAAGATTTACAGCCTCAGAAACCCTAAGCAGTGTTGCTGTGAGTCAAAACCAACTCCACAGCACATAACCACCATATCTGATCAAACATTTAATTAATTTACCCCTAATGGGATGGCTGGACTCCTAGTGTGGATCAGCACTGGACTGTGAACCACAAAGTCAGCAGTTCAAATCCACCAGCCACTCCTTGAAAATCCTATACAGGGTCCCTATGCATTGCAACCAACTGGATGACCTTAACAACTTTCCATGACTGTTGATTGTGGATCCAAGCAAAATGAAGTCTTTGACCACTTACATCTTTTCTCCATTTATCAGAATGTTATTTATTGGTCTAGTTGAGAAGATTTTTGTTTTCCTTACATTGAGGTGTAATTCACACTGAAGGCTGTGTCTTTGATCTTCAACAGTAAGTATTTTATGTCTTCTTTGCTTCCAGATAGCAAAGTTCTATCATCTGCATATTACAGATTATTAACCACAGTCTTCTGTGTATAATCCAGTGTCTCAAGATTATTTGTTAAGCACACAGGTTGAGTAAGTATGGAAATAAGATACAACAATGGCACACACCCTTCCTGATTTTTAAACCTGTGATATAGTACAGTTTTTGTCTCAACTTGACCAATTCAGGTTTCTCAGTGGTCTGGCAGTTAAGGTGTAGTTATCCCCAATAATAAGATTTAATATAATCAACCCCATAACATAGTCTGGTATGATAAGACTTTGTTGTTGTGACGTGCCACCAACTTGATTCTGATCCACAGCGACCCTGTATTGCGTTTCCGAGGAGCAGCTGGTGAGCTTGAACCGCTGACTTTGCGATTCAACCGGCTTTGCAGTCTGGCACATTAACCCACAGCACCACAACAGGATGTAATTCTCCAAAGTGCTGTCAATCCTTCTTTCTGACGTTAATGACATTAAATGCAATCTGTAGGATTAGAATGTATCTTGAGGCAATCTCTTTTGAGATATACAAGAAGATGAATGAATGTAAACTGAGGAGAAGGGAATCACTGCCACCAACAGAGAAGAACCAGGAGTAAGTGCATCCTTTGGACCTGGGATCCCTGCATTGGGACATTTCTATATCTAGAGAAAGAGCTAAACCAACACACAGAGAGAACTCCAAGGAATGCTGGGCCTACAGAGGCTTTAACGAAATAAGGACCTTTATCTAGAGCTGGGGCACTTAACTTGGACTTTCAGCCTCCTGCATTAGGGAAACCTGCTGCACAAGAACTTTTAAAGTGTTGAAGAGCAAAGATGTCAGCTTGAAGACTAAGGTGTGCCTGACCAAGCCATGGTATTTTCAATAATCTCATATGCATGCGAAAGCTGGACAGTAAAATAAGGAAGACCGTAGAAAAATTGATGCTTTTGAGTTATGGTGTTGGAGGAGAATATTGAAAGTGCCATGGGATACCAAATGAACCAACAGATCTGTGTTGGAAGCAGTGCAGCCAGAGTGCTCCTTGGAGGCCAGGATGGCTAAACTTCGTCTCTCATACTTCGGACATACTGTCAGGAGGGACCAGTCCCTGGAGAAGGATATCATGTTTGGTAAGGGGGAGGGTCAGAAAAAAGAGGAAAGACCCCTCAGCGAGATGGATTGGCCAAGTGGCAGCATCAGTGGGCTCAAGTGTGGCAACAACAGTGAGGTTGGCCCACAATCGGGCAGTGTTTGGTTCTGCTGTGCATAAGGTTGCTGTGGGTCGGTACCAACTTGATGGCACCTAACAACAACAACAAACTGTGAGAGAATAGTTTCTATTTGTTAAAGCCATTCACTAGTGGTATTTCTGTTATAGCAGCATTGGATACCTAAGACAAAACCATTTCAATTCTTCACAATGTTACCCCTAGATTGTTATGATCCAGTCAAATGCCTATGCATAATCAATAAAACACAACATATTCCTGACATTCTCTGCATTCAGCCAAGATCCATCTGATGTCAGCAATGATATCCCTACTTCCACATCCAATTCTGAATCCAGCTTGAAATTCTGACAGTTCCCTTTTGACGTATGGTTGCAAACATGTATGAATTTTATTATCAGCAAAATGTTACTTGCATAGGATAATAATAGTATTGTCCAATTACTTCTGAATTCCTTTGGTGTTCATATATGGAGCTCTTCCAATCAGTTGGCCAGGTGGCTATCTTGCACATTTCATGGCAAAGGTAAGTGAGTGCCTCCAGTACTGCATCAGTTTGTTGAAAGATTTCAATGTGTGTTCCGTCAGTTTGTGAACCCTTGTTTTTCTTCAATACTTTCAGGACAACTCAGACTTCTTCCTTCAGTATCATTGGTTTTTGATCATTTTTTAACTCTTGAAATGACTGAGTATCAACCATTTTTTTGAGGTACAGTGACTCTTGAATATTCCTTCCATCATCATCATCATCATTTTTTTTAAGGTTTTTATTGTGGATTGAGTCTTAGTTTACAGGGCAGATCATCAGTTTTACATTCAACGAATCATACACCTTGTTTCATTATAATGATTATAATCCGCTCCATGTACCATCAGTTAACAGTATTTCTCTCTATTCACTTTAGCTTTTTGTTTGTTTTTTTTAAAAAACAAAAAACACTCAGGTGCATATAATAATTTACAACTCCAAAGGGCACATTCTGCAAGTCTGTCTCCTTGGTCACCGGCTCTTAGTCCCTCTCTGTACCCATGAATCTAGAGTCCACAGTCACTCCCTCTCTCTCCATGTCTCCATCTCTGGCGTCCCTGCTTCTCTGGATAAGGTCCCGCATTCTGCTTGTGCTCTTCTCCTTTGATGGTCCTAGGGTCCTCAGTTTCTGGACTGTAAGATTAACTACTTCCCAGTTTTTGTTACAAAACTTCTACCTTTACAACTGTGACAGTCGCAGTTAGTCATGATAATAATTATTCACTATTGAACCATAAGAATCTTATCCCCATCTCTTTTCGCCAGACCCATCTAGACAAGACGACAAGTATTCAGTGGGGACTCTTTCTTTTCCTCCATACTCTTAAACTAAACTCCCTCTTGAAACCTTATAAGCCAGTCACTTTGTGCCTTTATCGCCCCCTCATTTTAGGTACCCAGTGTCTAAATTGCCCCTTCCATCTTCTTTTGATGCTTTCAGTATCATTCAATATTTGTCCACAGAATGCTTCAATATTGCATTTGAGGCTTGAATCTTTTCTTCAATTCTTTCAGCTTGAGAAATGTGGAACTTTTGTTTCCTAATTCCAGGCCATTGCAGATTTCATTATAATATTTTACTTTGTCCTCTACAAACTGCTCTTTAAAGTTTTCTGTTCGGCTCTTTTATGTCCTTATTTCTTTCAGTTGCTTTATCTTCTCTACACTGGAGAGCAAACTTCAGAGTCTCTTCTGACATCCATTTTGGTCTTTTCTTTCTTTCCTGTCTAAATTTTAATGACCTTTTGCTTTCTTCCTGTATGATGTTCTTGATATCATCTAGTAACTCCTCTATTCTTTAGGCAGTCATGTCTTTAAAATAAGTGAAACCCAAACCATTCCTTCCACAGCCATCTGTCCAGCTGGGTTCAATAATTTGTTGCAATGACCACACACAACTCAAAGTTATGGGGTTCATTAGGGAAGTTAGCAAGATATAACACAGGATCAAAACATGCTCAAGGCACAGTTATTCCAATCAGCAGCTGATAAATACTCACAGGGCACACCATTCCACCATACTCCTCAGCTTAAAGACACTCAGCTCTAGCTTCATTCACCAGCAACCTAGCGTCCCCAATTAAGTGTCTGGAGGCAACCCACTGTGCAAGCAAACCTTCTGCCCAAAGACACTCTGTTCAACCAGCACTGTGGGCTGGGAAGCCCAGTACTCTGTCAAGTTCCCTCCTGGTTCCTGGTTCTATTATTGTTGCTCCTCTGTCACTCCTCTGCTACTCCTTCAGCATCAGAGTTTTCTATCGCCAGATCAAGGTTGTTTAATGCAGAGGTCTCAGGGTCCAAAAGACACGCTGCACTCTTGGCTCTTTTTCCTTGATGGTAGTAAAACCCATCCTCCTCTTGCTGAGATGGCTCATTTCAAATCCATGTTAGAGTTCCACGTTTTTAGAATCACAATGAACTCTTAACCACTAACAACTGAATTACAACATTTAATCAGTATCTTCTCCCTTTTCTTACCCAGACCTGGCAGAAAAAGCTACCTGGTTGGAGTTTACAAAGACTATGACCTAGAAGAAACAGTAAATTCACTACACTGCAGTGTCTAATGCATCAAATCTATTCTTGAGATGGTCTGTAAATTCAGGTGGATTATACTGAAAGTCATATTTGGGATCTTAATAACTTATTTTAATTCTCTTCAACCTAAATTTGCACATGAGTGAGTAACTGATGGTCTGTTCCAGTCTATACCTAGGCTTGTTTTGACTGATGATATTGGCTTCCCACCAACTCTTAACACAGATGTAGTCAATTTGAGTCCTGTGTACTCCATCTGGAGAGGTCGACGCATATAGTCGCCTTTTACATTGTTGAACAAAGGAATCTGCACTGAGTAAGTTGTTGGTCTTGCAAAATTCTATTATGAGATCTCCAGCATCATTTCTATCACCAAGGCCATATTTTCCAAAAAACAGATCCTTTCTCTTTGTTTCCAACTTTCACATTTCAATCACTGGGAATATCAATGCATCTTGATTGCATGCTTGATCAATTTCAGACTGAAGCAGTTGGTAGAATTCCTCAATGTCATCATCACTGGCTTTAGTGGTTGGTGTGTAAATTTAAATAATGGTATTAACTGATCTTCCTTGTAGGCGTATGGCTAGATCTTGAAATGCTGCTTTTGACGATGAATTATGACACAACTCCTCTTCAATCTGACATTCCTGGCATAATAAATGATTGTCAGATTCAAAATGGCTAATGCAGTCCATTTCAGCTCACTAATACCTAGGATATCAATCTTTATGTGTTCCATTTCATTTCTGACAACTACCAATTTTTCTAGATTCATACTTCATACATTACAGAACCCAATGACTAATGTATATTTGCAACTGTTTCTCATTTTGAGTTGTGTACCAACACCAAATGAAGGTCCCAAAAACTTTGCTGCATTCATGTCATTATCATCGACTTTGAGGAGACTTGCCCAGTTTTATTTTGAGTGCCTTCCAACATGAGCGGCTCATCTCCTGGCACTATATCTGACCATGTTTCACTGTTATTCATAACGTTTTCAATGGCTAACCATTCTGAAATGGTCCACATCTCCCTAGTCTTAGTCTGGAAGCACCGCTGACAGCTGTCCACCATGTATAACCCTGCTGTTGAAAATACATAGCTTCCAAAATCACAGCAACACGCAAACCACCAGCATACATCTGACAGATGAGTAGTGGACTAAATAACAATAAATTTAAAATGAAGTAAAAGAAATACCTTGAATTAAATGAGAATGAAAAAACAACATAATAAAACCTGTGGGACATAGCAAAAAACATGCTCAGAGCAATTACAACAATAAATGCAGACATGACAGAAAAGAACAGACCAAAATCAGCACCTTAATCCAGCATCTCCAACATTAAAAAAGGATCCGTTAAAAAAAAAAGACAAGAGAAAAACCTAGATATAGAAAAAGGCACAAAAAGGTAGCAGAAATAAATAAAACAGAAAAACAATGAAAAGAATCAAGGTTAGAACTTGGCTCTGAGAGGAGATTAATAAAAGTTTACAAACAACTGGCAAATTTGTTGTTGTTAAGTTCTGTGGACTCTGTTTCGACTCCTAGCTACCCTGTATATACGGTTTCCAGGACTTCACATCTTTTGCAGGAGCAGAAAGTCTCATCTTTCTCCCATGGAGTGGCTGGTGAGCCAGTACCAGCAACCCTGTGGTTCTCAATCCAGTGCTTATCCTAAAATGAAACTAAAAGTGCACAATTTACAGAAAACAAATTAGATGACAGAGAATTCCTAAAAATCAAACACTTATTTATGCACATCAAAAAATGTCTCCAAAGGAGTAAAAAGAGAACCCAGAGACCGGGAAAAAAGTTTCTTGGCAATGACCTATTGGACAATCTTGAAATTTTATAGAAAACTTCCACACCTCAACAAAAAGAAAAATAATTTTAATTTAAAATAATTAGAAGGCATGAACAGTCACCGAAGCCAACATTCAGGTTGGCAACAAACACATAAAAAATGCTCACGATCATTAGCAATTATTGTTGTTAAGTGGGGTAAAGTCAGTTCTGACTCACAGAGACTCGGTGTAGGGTTTCTAAGGAGTGGCTGGTATACTGAACTGCTGAGCTGGGTTAGCTTACCCTACAGCATCACACCAGAATGCCTATTAGCAATTGGTGGTGGTGGCAGCATACCATCGAGTTGGCTCTGACTCAAAGTAACTCTGCATCGGGTATCCAAGGCTGTAAATTTTTACAAGCACAGAAAGGCCTCCAGGAGCAACTGGTAGATTCAAACTGCTGAACTTGCAGTTAGCGGCCCAGCTCATAAATCCACTACTGAAAATCAAAACAATGAGCTACCATCTCACCCCAACACTTAACCACTAGGGTTCCTTAACTTGAGTGAAGGGGAATGCAATACACCAATAGGAGGGAGGCGAGAGTACAAAATGATCAAGGCAAAGGAAGACACCCAGAGAAGTACAAGCGTTAAAGGAAACAGAGGTAAATACTATTACATACGCAATCCTGTAATGAGGCACTGTAAGGCAGACACTGAACTGCTAACCACAAGGTCAGAGGTTCACACCCACCAGCCGTACCCGGGAAACCCTATACAGGATCGCTATATGTTGGAAGCAACCCCACAGCACTTAACAACAACTGCTTCTGCTGTGTACCGTGTATAGGGTTTCCAAGGAACAGCTGGTGGGTCTCAACTACCAATCTTGTGGTTTGAACACCAGTGCTAGTCCCATAGCCCCACACCAGGAGTTCAAGGCTGTAGATCTTTACAAGAGCAGACAGCTTCATCTTTCTTCTGGATCGCTCTAAGTTGAAACCCGACCCAATAGCACTTAAACAATTACAACATATTTGGTCAAAGGAGCTCCGGCAGCGAAGTGGTTACGAGTCGGGTTGCTAACCTCAAGGTCAGCAGTTCGAAACTACCAGCTGTTCCACAGGAGAAAGATGAGGCGTTGTGCTCCCGTAAAGATTTACAGCTTCAGAAACCCTGTACAGGGTCGCTATGAGTCGGAAATGACTCCATGGCACACTACCACCACCACCATAGGATTAACAGAGGGTATTTCCACATTTTTTATCAGTGTTGTAAGGAGCTCTGGTAGCGTAGTGGTTACGAATCGGGCTGCGAACCTTAAGGTCAGCGGTTCAAAACTACCAGCCGCTCCGCGGGAGAAAGATG